CAGGGACACCTTATCACTGCCTGACAGTGGGGCAGGGCCAGGTGGAGTCTGGCTCTGCTCCCAGGCAGCCAGAGACAGGGTGAGAGGGAATGTCCTCAAGCTGTGCCAGGAGAGTTGGTCTAAGAGTGGACTTGATCTCAGAGGTGTTTTCCAGTCTAATTGGTTTTGTAGTTGGAAGATTGTCAAGTGGAAGGACCATTATTTCAACTGAATGTTATGGGGTCACTTGGCTTACTCAGGTTTTTTGTATCCTTGTGCTTGTCAGAATAAAATATACTACTTTGGGGAATGGGGGTGCTCAAAGCTGTGGATGTCATAGTTTATTTCCAATAAAAGACTGTGAAGAAAATTAACTCCCAGATAAACAGAAAAGTAGAGGCTGATGTTGATTGGACAACTGCTCTCCATGATCACACAGACAGAACTCTTCTCTGGAATTTTCTATTTAAATTGCAGCAGCAAGGGAGACTGTATTCCCAATAGGTTTGCAAAACAAAATATTTCAAAATCTTTGATGTGTTTGATTAACTCTCTGGTTTCAGTACATTTTAGAGCAGTTATTTTCCCTGTGTTGTATTTTCAGTTATTGGGAAACTTTCTCCAGTGGTATGGAATCCTTTCAAACAAAACTCTGCAGGAGCTGTCCATAGATGGATTGCTAAATAGATACATTCTTATGGCTTTTCAAAACTCAGAGTATGGAGAGGACAGCATTAAGAAAGCTCAAAGTGTAAGTAAAATCAAGCAATGTTTAAAGGAATGTATTTCAGCTGAAAGAAATATATAGTTGAAACTTGGCATTGCCTATGAAATATTGGCTTTGAGTCCTCAAAAGCTGTAGTCTGTGAAAAACGGATTTTACTTTTTTTTTAGTATAGAGACTAGAGAAAGAACCTTCTCTGGCTCGTGCCTGTAGATGGATTAGGTATACTGTGGGTTTCAGTGCTTTACTGCTTGGATTTTGGTGTGGGTTTTTTGTTTTCTCATTTTTTCACTCCGTTGGTCCTGCAGTCTTACTAGGCAGACTTGACAAGTTATGTTACATAGCTTTTAAAAATTTTGTTACGTTGTGTTTAACTTCCTTTCTCCTGTTTTTCATAGGTAATTGCTTGCTTCCCTAAGCAGTGGTTCACTAATCTAACAGGAGACAAGACTATTTCCCAGCTAGAAAACTTCTGTAGATACCTTGTTCACCTGGCTGATACAATTTACAGAAACAGCATTGGTTCCTCTGATGTAGAGAAGAGAAATGCAAGGTAACTTATTTTGAGTTAAAGCAGTTGCAGTTCTTGTGATTTATTTTTCCAGTGCATGCAAACTTTGGTTACTCTCTCCATCCTGCTGTCTGTCTTTGGAAACTTCATTGAATTCACATGTTAGAAATAGATATTTTTAAGGTGTCTGAAAATAGCAACTTCTGAAAATACTGACACACTGATAATATATTTTGCACTACTGCCAAGTGTCCTGGATTCTTAAGGGGGTTTATAAAAAGCAGGGAGAAATACTTTTTACATGAGCAGATACTGTCAGGACAAGGGAGAGTGGCTTTAAACCTGAAGGAGGAGATATTTATGTTAGATATTAGGGACAGAATTCTTGGCTGTGAAGGTGGCCCTGGCACAGGTTGCCCAGAGAAGCTTCCTGTCCCTAGAAATGCTCAAGGCCTTGTTGGATGGAGCTCTGAGCAACCTGGCCTGCTGGAAGGTGTCCCTGTCCATAGCAGGGTGTTGGACTGAGATAAGCTTTTAAGGTACCTTCCAACCCAAAGAATTCTATGATTCTGTCAAATTTTGAAGCTACCATGTTTGGAGTGTTTCACTTTGTGAGCCTGTTGCTAAGTCCTGCAGTGAGGCTTCTAAATTGCAAACAGTTCAAAAGTTCTGACTATTTACACAACCAACTAGATGAACCTGTTTTGCCTGAGATCCAAGAGTAATTTTACTTGGATCCTATGATCAGCTTAACTAAAAGTTTGTGTTAGACATATTACTGCTGGCCAAGTAACCTGACATGCTAAGGGAACAGTAACAGCACAAGAATGAACAGTCTCCAGTGCTGGTACAGTCCTGTGTTTTAGTGTAATAGTTTGGGATTGAAGTTCATATAAGTTCTTGAGCTCTCTTTTGGTGGTGTGTTTTGAAATTTAAAAGAAAGAACTTTCTTCACCAGGTGAAATGATGACTTGGTAAAAAATTTTATTGCAAGAGAAACATCCAATTATCCTGTTTTCATAGCAGGTTAGATTTTGATTTCTGTCTTCTGCTTTTTTCCCAGCATTTAAAAATCTGTTTTCTTTACGCTTACTAAGCAAATGTAATAAATCTGCAACAGGAATATGAAATATATGCATTCATAATGTAGTCTTCTGTTGGAAAATTAATCCATGTCATTGATTGTTCTGTTTCTATATTTACCTCTCCTGCCTCCTTTTTAGGGAGCACATCAAGCAGATCATAAAGCTTCTAGCAAGTGTCCGAGCCCTGGATCATGCCATTACTGTTGCAAATGATCACAATGTAAAAGAGTTCAAGATTCTAATAGAAGGAAAATAGACTTTTACCACCACTCATTTTAAGCTTTAAAACCATTCCTGATGTGTAATTTATGTACATATGTAAAGTTTCTTAAACTGTAAAGTATTGATCTTTGTTTTAATACAAAGTGCATTCTTATATACAGCATCCTTAAAAATAAAATCATTGACTTCATTGAAAACAGAAATGGAATCCCAAGGTTGTCATCTTTCTAGAAACCAGATTTTCCCTCAGGTTTCTCAAAATCTTGTTCACAAAAATACTTTGTGCCCTTAATCAGTGGTCATCTACTCCTGTTAATTGTTCCATGGTTAACTGGAATGTATAGAATAGATTGTGTAATACAATGTATGCATATATTTATACCACCATGTTGCTTTCACACTGGATATAGAGATGTTGTACTGTTGCAACAAGCTTTTCATTTGCTAAAAAATACTTATTTTGACAATAAAATGATCATATTATTGGTCAAAAGGGGTGGTAAAAGATTCAAATATGTGAAAAGTCACAAGTTGAAGAGTAGGGACACATTGAAGTGGATCCTGACCTTTAAAAAGCATCTGTGCACTC